CAACATAACCCCTTAAACATAGTCTCTCTCTCACTCTCTCTTTCTCTCTCTTTCTCTCTCTWTCTCTCTCTCTCTCTCTCTCTCTCTCTCTCTCTCTCTCTCTCTCTTTCTCTCTCTTTTCTCTCTCTCTCTCTCTCTCTCTYTCTTTCTCTCTCTTTCTCTCTTTCTTTCTCTCTCTTTCTCTCTCTTTTTCTCTCTCTCTCTCTCTCTCTCTCTCTCTCTCTCTCTCTCTCTCTCTCTCTCTCTCTAACTATATATATAGTTAGTTGAATGATATATTGCTGAAAATGCATTAACCATCAGCAGCACTGGTATGCAGTGTATCCATGGGTTACTCATCACTTGTGGTGGTAGTGATTGGGCTATACATACACAGGTGATAGACATTGGTAGTAGTAGTAGTAATAATAATAGTCAATAAGTTATTATTATTATTATTATTATTGTGTGCATTAATGATATATAGAAAATTAACATATAATACATGTTTATTATATATGATTTATGATATATAATGTTTAGAAATAGAGATCAAACAAAAATATATATATTTATATAAATAAATCAAATACATAAATATTTGTATTTATATTATACAGGTATTAGTAATAATAATAATATTATTAGTATTAGTATAATACTCCCACATAATTGTACAATAATTTTATAATATATATATATATATAAATAATTTTTAAAAAATTGTTTATTACTTTATTTAGCTAGAAATTTGTGTTTAAATTTTAGTTTTTAATTAATCAATTTATTATAATATATATTTTTTTGTTAGTTTATCAGATTATTAATTTATTATAAAGTATATTAATATTTATAATACTATATATATATACTGTTTGATATACAATATATATATTTATAATAAAACTATTTTTAATGTAGGAGTTAAAATTAAAATTATTATTATTATTAATATTAACATAAATTATAGTGAAATAAATGTAATAATTTAAAAATAAATGCAATTTTATATTTTTATTTTTAACTATAAAATTGTTATTTCCAAGAAAACAGTTAAAAATAATAATAATAAAAGATTTTAATTGTAAATAATTGTAAATAATTTTTTATTGCAATAATTTTCTTCAAATATTTTCTCGCATATCATATATCTATTACAACAACATAAATGATTTTTTTTATTTCAAAAGTTTTTTTTTTAAAAAAGACATTGTTTTAGCATTTAGAAAGAAACTATAGATATTAGTTGGAAATGTTAGTTACAGTTGTTTTATTTAATATAAAAAAGTTACAAATCTCTAGACACATACCAACACATACATACACACATATACATACACACATATACATACACACATATACATACACACATATACATACACACATATACATAAACACATATACATACACACATATACATACACACATATACATACACACATATACATACACATACATACTCATACATACACACGTACATACACACACATACACATACATACACACACTTACAAACACATACACACATGCATACATACATATATATATATATATACATACATTTACATACCCGCGCACTACTTTACCTACCGGTTCACAAACATTTTATTTTAATATAATTTATATTTTATGTTTAGTTTATTTTACAGTACAGTACATGTGTGCAAAAAATATCTAAATAATGTATAAAATGATATATTATACAAATAACATAATAAATCGATAGAATATTATATAGGTATAGATTTGGTCAACAAATACTGTAATATATATATATTAATTAATATATACAGTATATATATATATATATCTATAAATATAGACATATATTAAAAAATAATTATAAATTAAACATTATTTTATAAATGTTTTTTTTAATAATATATATATGAAGTAATATTATGTAATTTTTTTTATAAAAAAGTAATTAAATTAGTATATATGCTTAATACAGTATTTTTAATATAATATATATATTTATATAGTATAGACTTTATATAATAATAATTTTTTTATTATTCATAGATATGATATATCAACCTTTTAACGGACGGATAAATTATAACAAATAATATAAACAATACATCTATCGATCAAAATGGGCATCAATTATGTTACTAATTAAGAAAATAATATTTTTTAATTTATATATTAAATAATACCATAATAACTCAATATATATTTAAACCATCTTATAAGCAATCATATTACCGTCTTCCCATAGTTAACTCATGTTTTTCAAATTAATACCGTATTCCCAAATTAAAAATAGTTTTTTTGAAAAAGTACCGTATTCCCAAATTAAAAATAGTTTTTTTGAAAAAGTACCGTATTCCCTTATTAAAATATAAGAAAATACGGTAAAGATTGTGAAATTATATTAATTTAATTAAATAATATGAAAATCATTTAAATGTGAGGTCATACGGTATAAATTGTGAAAATTATTTAAATGTGAGGTCATACGGTATAATCTAATGATTTTATACAAGTTTTAATTTYGGGTCATAATTTATGGACAAAAAATTTTAATTCAATGTTTTGTGGTCCGTCCGCTKAATGGGGATTAGAGAAAAATAATTTAWTAAATTAATAAAACTACTTTTTAAATTTTTTAAAAATTTGTTGTCTTTACTAATATTTTCTTAGATATTTAACCTGTATATAAAAAATAAAAAAATAATTAATTAATTATTAGTTTAATTATAATTAATTTTCAAACTTACCCTTTATTTCATCCACTATTGCGTTAACCAGACGTTGTCCTAATTGGGATCTAATTGTGAATTTGTGTCCAAATYTTTTACTAATTTTACATTACTTTATGAGAGGGCATATAAATATCTCTCAAATGACCCCTTAATGACAACAATTGATTAACAAATAACACAAATATTTAATTATTTAGTTTATCCGTCCGTTAATTGGTTATCCATTGTTAGGTGGATTTATAATATAAATAAAAAAATTAAATAAAATCCCTAAAGATATTTAAATAAAACATTTTGTTAAATAATTTTTTATATTAGATATGACATAAATTGAACATGATGTTTAATTAATATTATTAATACTGTATGTAATAAAATGATAAATAAAAAATATTAAATTTACATATTATATATAAATTATTATTGAGCCAAAAAATTTATAAAAATTAATTAAATTTTATATAATTTTATATTATTATAATGTCTAACAATAAATTTATCTTTTAATCATAAATAATTTATATACAGTATATAATTAATATAAAATAATCTAAATGCAATATATATATATATATTTAACTCTATATTAAATGTATTAATAAATTTAATTAATTAAATGTCACCTAATGTCACATTTAATTGTATTAGTTATACAATATATATATATATAAATATAGAAATAAAACTTTATTATTATAATATATATATAGTATCTTTTAATTATATATTTTGATAATTTTTGAATATTTATATATTATTTTTATATATTATCTTTTAATCTATTTAAATATATATATAAATATAATTTATATATGTAAATATATCAATTAATTTTGATTTTTAAAAAAAATTATTTTAATTGTATTATTAATATAATAAAATGATAAAAATAATTTCAATTTTTTAGATTAAAATAATTTTATAGTTAGTATATAAATCAATAGATAGCAATAGTATTAAATCAAAAATAATATGATTTTTTTAGTTTAGTAAAAAACATTTTTACTAAATTATCAAGTTGAAATAGTTTTTTTTATGGTTAATATTTTTTTAAACAAAAATAATATAATTAATGTACATCATAATCATATAAAATTATATTATCTAATATACTATTTTTATTAAATAAAACTAATAATAATATTATTTTCAACAAAATTAATGTAAACTTTTAGAAATTGTAGTAATTGTATAATACATTAACAAATGGTAAATGTTTATCAAATTAGTCACAAACATTACACACACACATACAAACACATACACATACATAAACACACATACATACACTCATACATACACTCATACATACACTCATACATACATAATCATACATACACTCATACATACACTCATACATACATAATCATACATACACTCATACATACACTCATACATACACTCATACATACACTCATACATACATAATCATACATACACTCATACATACACTCATACATACACTCATACATACATAATCATACATACACTCATACATACACTCATACATACACTCATACATACACTCATACATACACTCATACATACATAATCATACACACATACATACACACTGATACATACATACACATAGAAACATACAGTACATACAAACTTATATACATTCATATATATATATATACAGAGAGAGAGAGAGAGAGAGAGAGAGAGAGAGAGAGAGAATATTCTGTCTGTCTATGAATTTGTATATAATTTATTTGAATTAATCGATAAATTCTGGTCTCTATATTAGTATATATATATATATATATATATACACATTTATTACATGTATATATATTATAGCGCATGTGTTTCATGTGATTATTATTTGGGTATTCAGTAAAAACCAATGGTTGAGATGACAATTGTCTGAAAATTTTATATATAATTTTATATACAGTATTACTATTGGTTTGATTTTTTTTTTGGTATTATTATTGTTGTTGTTTTTATTGTCGTATTGCAGATGAAATATAAAACAATGTAAAACAATATATTATTAGTTAATTATTGTATTTATTTAGTGTTTTTCCACAATATATATATTTATTTATTTATAAATATATATATATATACTAAAGTCAAGTTAAAATCCTTTTAAAAAATTGCATTTCAATATTTTTTTTAATAAAATTTTTTAATAAAGCAACAAAAATTTAATTTATAATAATTCTAATATAAAAAAAAATTAATAAAACAAAAAATTTCAAACTTTTTTTTTAAATATATATAAAAAAAACTAATTCATCTAAATATTAATAATAATAATAATTTTTATATTTATTTAAAAAAAAAATGTTTTCAATTATGAAAAATCGTTTGCAGGGCAGGGCTACCGAAAAACAGTCGAAAATGTGTAATATTGTTGTGTTTGATGAGGACATACCTAAAAAAGATTGTCGACTAACGTTTGTCGACTTTGCACCTACACTTAAATATGATTTTGATACAAGTGAACTGGATAGTATATCATTTAGGTAAGTATGTATATATATAAACAAAAATATTATCTAGGTTATTTTTTCATTATTAATTTTTCAAAAATTTCATAACTATAAATATAAATAGAAAAATATAATAAATTATTTTTGAAGCTTGAATTTGAATTGGTTTTTAGTTTATTTATTTTTTAGTTTAATTATTATTTAATATTTTTTTAATATTATATAAAAAAAAGTTTTTTTTATATGTAATTATGTGTTGTTTATATGTTGTCTCCATTGACAACAACAACGATTACAAAATACAAAATATTATATAATATATTCATATAAATAATTTATACATTTATAATAATAATAATAATAATTTATATATATATATATATATACAGTATATGTGAGTGTAATTTAAAAAATTAAATATAATTATAAATCCATAAATTTTTATATTTTAATTATATATGTTTTAATTTTTTTTTATAAAACTTAATTTCTATTTAATAATCAAATACTTTACTAATTTACTAAATTATAATCATAATATTGTATACACAAAAAAAACATTATATATTGTATTAAACATTTTTGTAATAATTATAATAATAATAATCAATAAATTTATTATTGATTTTAGATAAACAATATATATATATATATATATATATATATATATATAAAACAGATAAAACTAATTATATCATTATCTGATATTAACAAAAAAAAAATAAAGTCTAGACTAATTTGAATAAATAATTTTTTTTTAAAAATAATATTATATATTAGCAAAATATATTACTAAATGTTTAAACATTTTTAAAAAATAGTATAAATTACTATTAATTTTATTTATTAAAAATTAAAAATCTTAAAAATTTTATTTATTATAGTAATCTAATTATATATTAATTAATAAAAATTTATAATTATTTATAATATACTTTATACTATAGTAGTAGACTATTATAACATATAGCTATTCAATATTAAAATAAATAAATAAATACATTCAAACTTATTGTAATTATTGTAAAACTTAGTTAAAGTTACTTAAAGATTAAAATTTCCCATAAAATTACAAATTTTTAATCACAAAAAAATAACTAAATTAAATTGTTTTTATTAATTAACTAATTATAATAATTATTTTTGATTTTCGATTAATAAAAATAATAATAATAATTATAATTATTATAATTATTAAAAATCTTTTAGTGAAGTCGTCAACTATGCTAACGGTTGGCTCAAACAACAGGACTGTTGGGATGTCGTCAACTGCGAGACCATTGCCGCTATTATAACCATTACGGTCGATGAAAGAGGTGTTATCACATGGAAAGACATACTGAAAACGTATACCATTTCGGAGGACACACAGGAATACAAGGATAATGTCCGTACGTGGCATGTGGTCAGGCTATGCAGGGATCCGGTCGACTATCGGGTACTACTATATAGGCTATGGATACGGCCGTTTGATCCGCGAGACTATAACGAAAAAGTCAGGCCAATCATACCTGTCCTACAATATCGGGATTTTGAACCGAAACTCCTCGACAAAAACAACCATCAGTTTGAATCCATCGATGATGTTATGAAACGTCTGAATCAGGCCATCAATCAGGAGGAACTGAACGGCAAAATCTTGAACATCCAAACACTGGCTTTTAGGGCCGATAATCAATGGCAAGTGAATACGGAAACTTCGCAGTCGAGGCCATGGATCGGTAAGATTGTGTATGTTTTGAGAGTTTACTATGCATTGGGACCGATATTTGATGAAGAAGTCGGGTTTGCCGATTTTATACCCCAATGTCTATCGGGTGGATCCATATTCAAACGGCCAAAGTTTGAGTCCCAGCAGTTTATACTGGAAAAGGCCAGCAAATGGTTGTCCGATAATCCGGAGATCAACTTTTGTTCGGCCGTTTCAATGGACGTCAAACTTAAGTCAAGTAAATTTGAATGCAAAATAAAATTACAACTAATTAATTAAATTAATTAATTATTAAATAAATTATTAAATAAGTTATTAAATTAATTAATAATTAGTTATTAAATTAATTAATAATTAGTTATTAAATTAATTAATAATTAGTTATTAAATTAATTAATAATTAGTTATTAAATTAATTAATAATTAGTTATTAAATCTATTATTAAATTAATTAATAAATTATTAAATAAATTAATAAATTATTTAATAAATAATTTATTTAATTAATAAATTAAATAATTAAAAACTTAATTAAATTAATTAATTAATTTTTTTAATTTGAATTAAATAGTGGTATCAATAGACACCAAACAGATGTCGGCCATCAGAGAAACCGGAGACTATATACGTATACTACGACTGGCCTATACTAAGCCCCGGGACGTACCGGCCGACATACCCGAGTCGGCAACACTGCCGCCGCCGCCGCCCGTCTATCTCGAGTCCAGACCGTTTGTATTGCACAAGTCCTACTCGGAGGTCAAACGATCGGTAAATGAATTTATGAATCGTCAGGAGTGGTCATCGCAGGCACCCGACCGGTACAAGTGGTCGCTGTTTAGCTGCGAAACAGTACCAGTGTTTTCGTCAAACAGTTTGAAACAGTCATTGGAGACAAATAGTGATCAAAGTTTTCAGGCTATACTGTCCTCCAGTCGATCGATCAATAGGTCCGAGTATTTTGCTGTTAAGATCTACTTTGATGTCGGCTATTATGGTGTCGACCATCAGTTACCAGATAAACAGGGATCACAAGCACCGGCAGCAGCAGCAGCACCAGCAGTGGACACACCTACCAGTACTACCAGTGCTGATGGTGTTGGTAGTGGTGGTGATGATGCTAGCAATGATAATGATAAGCGAAAATCTTGTACTATTATGTAATGGGATTTATTTTTTGTTTGTTTGTTGGTATTAATTATTATTATAATTTTCAATTATAATAGTATATAAAAATAATAATATAATGTATTAACTAAAGTGTGATTTTTGTTTGTTTGTTGTTGAAAGCGCTTGAAAATTAAATTTTAATTTTTAATAATTAATTGCTAATTAAAAATATTTATCTAAAAAAATGGTTATTAATTATTATGTTTTAATATATAAATTGTTTATTTTTTACAATATATTTATATATATATATATATATATATATATTATAAATTTTTGCATTTAACATAAAATTATTTTAATTAAACAATTTAATAATTTTTTTATATATATTATATAATTTTCATAATGCAATGCAATTCAATATATATGTATATAATATGAAATATACTGTAAATTATTATTTTTTAATTTTTTAATAATAATAATATTAATTATTATACGCACATAAAAAATGATTGTAAAACAAACTTTTTAAAAAAACATTTTTTATTCATATTATTATTCATATTATTCATATTTTATTATTTATAATCAATATATATTTAATTCATTATACATTATGCAAAAAATTTTATGATAAATTATTACTATTTTAATATATTGAATATTAAAAAAAATAAAAACAAACAAATTGTGTAAATTTTAACAGTTATCAAAATTATTTTATTCAACTATAATTTAAATATATATATATATTAAACATGTATTATAAATAAAAAATAATTTTGCTAAATATATTTGTTAACACCAAAAATATATATGATTTAATATATATATATATTATACATTTAAAATAAAGCTTAAACTTTTTTATTTATTTTAATATTGATATTATTATAATAAAGTAATTTATTATTTTAGAAAAAATAAAAAATATATAATATTAATATAAATTTTTTATTAATAAAACTAATAAATAAAACCTAATGATTATTCAGTACATATGTTACACTGTATACTATTTACTGTATCAACCATATACAGTAGATTCCGTTTTATTGGGCGCATGTATACTGTATATGTCTCGGAGAGAGAGAGAGWAAGAGAGAGAGAGAGAGAGAGAGAGAGAGAGAGAGAGAGAGAGAGAGAGAGAGAGAGAGAGAGAGAGATCAATAAATGTGTTAAATAATAGTTTTTAGTGTTTACTACTACAGAATCACCAGTTTTATGAGTATTCCCATTATATACAGTATAAACCGTATATATATATACGGTATTATATATTCAGTAGTGTATGTATGTATGTGTCTGTATGTGTGTTTGGGTGTCTATCCTTTACATTATCTCTTAGACAACCATCACATTGACTCCGTGAGTCTGTCAGTAGTAGTAGTCCGACTCCCTATTTATCAATAGTATATACAGTATATACACATTTGTTGTGATATTTATTTGTTTATATATTTCACTAATTATATAAACAGTATACATATATATATATATATATATCAATACAGTGTGGGTACCCCCCCCCCATCATCTTTCTATGCATACCCCGGTATTTGTATGGTGGGATGGGATGACGGGGGTTACCAATTAAATATTTAATATTGTTTTTATTGTCAAATAATAATAATAGTAATAATTTAATATTAAATGATAATTAGAGAGAAAAAAATAAATATATAGTATATATATAAATAATTTTCGGATATAATACCCGACAACCAAACAAATGGCCGGCTTTTCGGTGGGCAAACTTCGGATGCAAAAACGTAACCAAAAACGACAATCACTATTGGATGACATACTAGTGTTTGATGAGGACATACCCCGTGAGGCCAGGCTATCGTTTGTTGATTTTGCACCCACTGTTAAACATACTATTGATGGTTACGATAAAAGTGTAGACTTTTAGTAAGTGTTTGTTTGTATTTTTAAAATTTAAAATATTATATAATTTATATGTGTGTATATAATATTTGTTTAAAAAACTATTTTTATTATATATTAATAATAATAATTTTAATTAATCATTTATAGTTCATTTATTTAATATTATTTAATATTATTTAATATTATTTAATATTATTTAATATTATTTAATATTATTTAATATTATTTAATATTATTTAATATATATATATTTAATTTTATTTTTTAAAAATTAATTTATTGTTTATTTTCGGGACAATTAACACAACAAACAATACAAAAAACAGTGCACTCGTCGACTACGCCAACAAATGGCTAGAGAGGACAGGTAGCCGATGGGATGTCGTCAACTGTGAAACAGTGCCGGGCGTTACCATACAATTGTCTATAGGGGATGGCGGCGAAACAGTTGGCAAACAAATACTAACCCGTCGGCGGCTAAACAAGTTGGCCGATTTGAATTCGCTGCCGGGGGGTTCGGTACCGCCCGGTCGACATGTCCTACACTTTCGGGTAACAATGTTACGCTTATGGATCCGATCATCGGCAGCACAGTATGCCCAACAACAACATAATCATCGGATAAGCCTACAGTTCAATGATAGACCCGAACAACAGGTAGTGGTAGTCACCGATAGTTGTGGTGGTAATGATAAGAGCTTTGAGATGACTGCTGTCGATGAAGTGGTCAGTCGACCGGTGGTCAACAACGATCAGCCGATCAATGGTTGTACTGCCGGCCAAACGGATGATCAAAACAATTCACTGCCACCTGTCCTACAGTACAGAGATTTTATACCGAAACTCGTGGACAAAGACCGACATCAGTTTGAATCGGTTGATGACGTAATCAAACGGCTGAACCATGCGATCAATAACCAGGAATTTAACGGTAAAATCTTGAATATCCAGACACTGGCCTTCAGGGCCGGTAATCAATGGCAAGTGAATACGGAAACTACTGGCCAGTCCAGGCCATTGATCGGTAAGATTGTATACGTCCTCCGTGTTTACTATACATTGGGATCGGAAATATTTGACCAAGAAGTAGGTTTTGCCGATTTTATACCCCAATGTCTATCCGGAGGATCGATATTCAAACGCCCGGTGTTTGAATCCCAACAGTTTATACTGGAAAAGGCCAGCAAATGGTTGTCCGATAATCCGGAGATTAACTATTGTTCGGCCGTTTCAATGGACGTCAAACTTAAGTCAAGTAAATTGAATGCAACAAAAAATTAATTAAATTAATTAATTAAATACTGAATTAAATTATATAATTAAATACTTTATTAAATTAATTAAATACTTATTAAATTATATAATTAAATACTTTATTAAATTAATTAAATACTTATTAAATTAATTAAATACTTATTAAATTAATTAAATACTAATTAAATAATTAAATAGTTATTAAATAAATAAAATAATTAAATAATTATTAAGTAAATAAAATAATTAAATAGTTATTTAATTAATTAAATAATTAAATACTTATTAAATAAATAAAATAATTAAATATTTATTAAATAAATTTATTTTATTGTAATAAATAGTGGTATCAATAAACACCAAACAGATGTCGGCCATCAGGGAAACAGGAGATTATATACGTATACTACGACTGGCCTATACTAAGCCCCGGGACGTACCCGTCGACATACCTGAGTCGTCGGCAACGCTGCCACCGCCGCCGCCCGTCTATCTCGAGTCGCAATCGTTTGTAGTGTACAAGTCGTACGCCGAAGTCAAACGTCTGGTCAACGAGTTTATGGCCAGTCGTCAGGAGTGGTCACGGGATGTACCCGACCAGTACAGGTGGTCGTTGTTTAGTTGCGAAACAGTACCAGTATTTTCGGTAAACAATTTGAAACAGTCGTTGGAGACAAACAGTGATCAAAGTTTTCAGGCTATACTGTCCACCAGTCGATCGATCAATCGGTCCGAGTATTTTGCAGTTAAGATCTACTTTGATGTCGGCTATTATGGTGTCGATCATCAGTTACCAGATAAACAGGGATTACCATCACCAGCACCGGCAGCAGCAGCAGCAGTGGACACACCTACTAGTACTACCAGTGCTGCTGATGATGGTAGTAGTAATAGTAGTGATGGTAGTGGTGGTAATGATGATGATAAGCAAAAAACCTGTACTATTATGTAATTACGATATTAATTATTATTATTTATTTTTTTAATTATAAATATTAATGTATTAATCAAAAAATAATTGATTGATTAGAAACTAACCAAAAAAATATTGTTAATTTAAATTTGCATTTAATTTAAATCTATAATTATATATAATTATATATCACATTCATATATATATATATATATAATTTATGTTTGAATTTTTTTTTAGTTATATTACAATCAAATTCAATCAACAAAATTATTTTTGACAAAAAATATATACAATTTTTTGTTTGTTTTTAAATATAATTTTCTAAAGTGCTGTATATTATATTATTATTATATATATATATATTATATACAGTAAATTAAAAACTTTTTTTTAAAAATAATTTGTTACCTGAATTGTAGTTATTATTATTATTATACGCACATTAAAAAAATGATTGCAAAATAAAACAATAATAATTTTTTTTAAAAATCATTTTTATACTACACTAATGTTATCTTTTATTATAAATATATTTATATATATATTTGTTTATAACTTATAACATTAAATTAAATTATTACTATTAAAAAAAACATTAAACAAATTTTAATATATATATTATATATGATTATTAACAACAAACAAACAAATTGTATAAATTTTTTTAACAATTAGTCAAATAATTTTTATAAATTTCTTTTTTTTAAGAAAAAACATTAAATATTTATTTAATATTTAAATAAATATAAAATAAAATTTCGAAATATTTTTTTTAACAAAAAAAACTAACAAACAAAATATGTATGAGTTTTAAAAAATAAAATAAAAATATTTTCATTTTACAAGTAAATAAAGTTTAATTTATTTTAAATTAAATTATTATTATTATTATAAAGTAATTTATTATTTAGAGAATATATATATATATAATATTAATATCAATTTTTCCTATAATTAAAAATAATTAATTAATAAAATTAAAAAAAATACAAATCTATTAATAATTATTTGTTTGAGACTATCAATCGGTCGGTACATTAGCGGCCAGATGTCCGCCATCGGCTACGACAATACTGCCGGTAATGAACGATGCCTCCGAACTGGCCAAATAGCCGACCAGATTGGCAATATCTAGACCTTGGCCACACCGGCCAACCGGATATTGGGCACCGGTAGCCGTATCTATTTGTTCGCTTTCCTCCCGACTGATACCCAAATTGTTTGTCAATATATTGGTCATTACACAACCGGGACTATTATACAGTATATATATATATATTGAATATAGTTAAGGAACGGTAGGTTATGGTAAGGAAGGGTATGTCATCCTATCATATCATACTTGACTGAATTAACTCGTATGCCTTTCGGACCCAACTCTGCGGCCAAACATTTGGTAAACATATCGAGACCGGCCTTTGATATATTATACGGTATATTCTGTTTACACTATTATTTATAATAATAAAAATAATTAATAACTATTACAATCACATACACACACACACACAAACACAAGTATATATACGTGCAAACACACACACACACACACATTGATATACATACATAAATACACACACACACACACATACACATATACAAACAAACACACACCTACACAGACATACATATATATACATACACACTCACACACATATAAATAAACACACTCACACATACATACATACATACATACATACACACACATACATACATACACACACACACTCACACACATACATACACACCCACCCACCCACACATTCATAAATATAGACAAATACACACACACACACACACACACAAACATACCGACACCAATGACCGTATACTAGATATGTTGATAACCGCACCGCGAGTTTTGGCCAACTCATCCACGCACAGGTGGGTCAAATAGACAGCCGAATTCAAGTTGATCATCATTACCCTATGATATTTACTATAGTAATCCCTGTCCTCGAATCGGGTCTGTGCAAACAAACCGGCACAGTTGACCAGTATGTCCAGTTTGCCAAACTTGCGGACAGTCTGATCGACCAGGCGTTCAATGTCGCGCATACTGGCAAAATCGGCTACCACTTCCAATAGTCGATCGGCCGACAATTGATTGGCTGGCAATACCTGTGAACACCGGCTGGCCACACGGGCCACATCGTCCGATCGATGGCCAGTTATTACTACCGATGCACCCGATTTGGCAAACAATTCGGCAATGGCTGCACCGATACCCGAACTCGAACCGGTAATCAGGGCTACCTTTCCATCGAAATTATAGTTGACAGACATTGGATGTAATTATTTATTTATTAATTATATATTTTTTTTATAGTAGAGTTAAAGTACAGTAAATTATTTAAAAAATAATAATATTATTATTATTTGTTGATAATAACAAAAAAAATTATTATTATTTTTTAAAAAATAAAACTCATATTAATTACTGGTATTAAAATAAATACAGTAAATATTTTTTTTATAAATATTTATTTTTGCACTAAAAATAAAATCAATGTATTTGTACTGTATAATTTTGTACTGTATTAGTATTTAATATATATATATATATATATATATATATATATATATTGATAATATCATAGTTACTAAACATTGATACTAAATAATACTAATATCAAAAAAAATAAAATAACATTATAGATTAATTTTATTTTTAAATAAGTTATAAGTCATTTTAGATATCAATTTCTAATAATATAATACATTTTATTGTATATAAATTAGATTTATTTTTTAAATTTAATAAAAATTTAATAATTATAGCATTTTTTAAATATTAATAATACTACATTGCAATTACTAATTAATTAATTATTATTTAGATTATTTAAATTTTAGTATTTAAAATTACAAACACACACACACAATATTAAAATATTAAAAACATATTATTTATTTTTAAAAAGTTATAGTAAGCATTGAAATTTAATTAAAATATAATAATAATATTATTTTATAAAAAAACATAAGGTTTTTAGATATTTAATTAATTAATTTTTTTTTATAAATAAATTGTTATTTAATTAATTATTTTTATATAAAATAAAAACAAAACAAAATGCTTGATAATAGTGTTGCAATTGCTTGGAGTAATCTAACAGTTAGTAGTAGTAGTAGTAGTAGTAGACTGTGGACAGGATTAACGGGATTACCTGCAAATCGGGTAATACTACGTGAACTATGCGGTCAAATTAGTTTCGGTCAGCTAACCGGGCTGATGGGTGCCTCGGGATCGGGTAAGACAACACTATTGAATTGTTTGATGAATATCGGGACCAACGATAGCTACCGAATCAGTGACCAGTCCCTAGTGTATTGTACCCGTGATCGGCCAATTGTCCGACGATTTGTTTGTCTAAACCATATGATTGGTGGACAACAACAACAACTACTACTTAACGATGAACTAACAGTAGGAGAAGCGCTCATGTATTCATCGAAAGTTAATAATAGTTTATTATTAACAACTACTGGATGTGTTGTTAATCATAAAAAACTGGTCCATAAACTGATGACCGAACTATTGATCAATGATATCGATGACCAGCGTATCGGCGACTGTAGTGGTGGCCAACGTAAACGTATAGCTATCGGACTACAGTTGACTTCGGTAGTGATGCCAAACCTTGTTTGTATGGATGAGCCGACAACCGGTCTCGACTCGACCGCAGCACTAGAGGTATGTATTTTCAACAACAAAAAATGTAATTAAAATGTAATTAATTTTTGTTTGTTTGTCTCTATATTTTAAATATCATTAGTTAATCAAATGTCTGAAACAGTTAGCAAATAGACATAACATAGCACTGGTAGTCAGCATTCATCAGCCAAACCAGGAACTACTGAAACTGTTTGATAGTTGCTATGTATTGGCCAAAAGTGGTCAATGTATCTATGATGACAGTCCCCGGCAATTGAGGAACTGGTTGACCACAACTACCACCACAACCAGCACTGGTATTAAATTACGTAAAACTGATGTACCGATTGAAGTATTGATGAAATTGTCGTCACAAGAATCGGGTGATAGTAGTGATGGTCAGCGACTATCGGATAGATTGAGACAAACAAATCGAAAACAATTGGCTATTAGAAAATGTTTGACTACTAATCTAATACAGGAAAACCAATTTATAGGATACAATAGTCAATTGAAACCATTTAGTTTTGATGATCTATGGGTAATAACTGGTCGATCCTTGAAATGTACATTTGGTAGCAATAGATATACTGATCATCGATGGCTACTTGAGCTAACCATGTTTACTGTGTTTCAATTGTTTGTCCGTTTGTTTATAACTGATCAGTCATTGATGAGTACCGGGTGTTTTGATCCGGATCTGTATACGGGCACCTGTATGCAATGGGTTGACGATAGTTTTCTATTGGGTATGAGCGTCAATCATCTGGTATTGAATTATTATTTTGCATATTCAATGCATTCAGTTATTATTGTCAATAGGTTTGCCGATAATATACATCTATTATTAGATGAATATAGAAATTGTAAGTAATATATATATAATTTATATACAGTATATATAAATATACTGTAGTAATATAAATATAATATTTCACTTATAACTAACAGTATATTAATAATAATAATATTTTTTTAATTTAATTACTTTATTATTATTAATACTTTTATTACTTTTAAGTAATACTTTTATCATTTATTACTGTATTATTTTTTAATATCATTTTTATTATTTTTAAATATTATTTTTTAAATATTATTTTATATAATATTATTTTTTAAAATAATATTTTTAATTTATTTTTAGATTTTTAGTAATAGTAGTAGTTAATTAATTATTAATTTATTTACCTTTATAATTTGTTTTATTTTATGTGTTTTTTATAATAAAATCAGCATGGTACAATTGGAAAATAATAATATTATCAATAATAATTGTCGACACATGTATAACCATACTCTATGCACTGACATTTAGCTTGGTACTAATCTATACATATTGGGCACTGTTAGATTTCAATCGTAGCCTATGGCTTATGTATGTCATACTCATAACAATGTTAATCAATCAATTGTTGGCAACATTAGTCGGTACACTAGTTGGCCAAAAATCTAAACTACTGGCCTATATGTCGGTAACATCACTGATGTTTCTGATGAAACCGTATGCAAATTTTTTCATACGACTATCCCATATGAAACCCATGTTGCAATTGGTTAGCCAACTAACCTATTTTAAGCTAGTATTCAATTTGTTGCTTATCATACTATATGGTGGTAGCGGTAGGTGTGGGCGGCAAACATCAAATAAGACAACATCAACAATAAAATCATTGATTTTAAATGATTATGACCTCATGGATGATGACAACCAGTTTAGGCAACTATTAGTTCAGACACATATCTATTGGCTAACTGTCCTAATGATTGTTTGGTTTGGTTTTTATCTAAAATTTCATATCAATCAACAAATTACTATCAAAAAAATTTATGATATATTAGACAATTGTTTAATGATTGAAAAAAATTCAAACTTATTGTATGAAACAAGTGTTAAGTTATTGAATAGAAATAAATTAATTAAAAACTATTTTTTAAGTAATAATAATAATAGTAATAATAAATCAGTAAATTATACAACAAATTATGATTTAAATAGTTATGATAACCTCAATAATAATAATAATAATAATTTTATTACTAATTTAATTACCAATAGTAATGTTGAAAATCATAATAATAATAATAATAAAATTAATAAACATTTAGCTATAGTATGGCTTAATTTAACAGTAGATATAAAATTAAATCAATTTATTTTGAAAACAAATTCATCAAAAAACAAATCATTGAAAATATTGGACAATATTACGGGTAGTTTTACTAAACAATCGTTGAACGCAATTATGGGACCGTCGGGATCGGGTAAGACAACACTATTGCGTTGTCTGAATAATAGTGGCCATCAAATCAATGGTCAATCAATAGCCGATAATGTTGTCTATTATTCCCGAAATATTAGTCAAACATGTTTTATCAGTCAAAATATCGGCGATCATCTACTGTCGGGTTTAACTATCAAACAGACACTACTGTATGCATCGAAATTGAAAAACAGTGGCCAACAACAGCAGCCGATAGATCACCAATCAATTGTCGCCAATCTTATCGGTCAATTGCTTATCGGTAACGATATTGCCGACGGCCAAACTAGTGTCGACCAGTGTAGTGGCGGTGAATTGAAACGCCTGGTTATAGCCAGCGAACTGACTGGCCATCGAAAACCTGAACTCATGTTCATTGACGAACCGACATCCGGTTTGGACAGTTGTTCAGCACTTGCGGTCATCCAGTGTCTGAAACGGTTGACCCAATCCTACAGTAATATGACAATCGTTGTCACCATTCATCAGCCAAACCAAGAACTGATGCAATTGTTTGATTCAGTCTATGTGTTGGCCAGTAGTGGGGGTCGACCTATATATCAGGGATGTCCCCGACAATTGAAACAGTCGGTGAGCGAGACAACCAATAGACATATCAGGGCCAGTGATGTACCCATTGAATGGCTATTGAAAGTTGCAACGGCTTCGGGCGGCGATTCGGTGGGCAACCAATTGGTCGACAAATTAGTAGCCAAACAACGCCGGGATAACCGATTACTCGGGGATCAGATGATCGGCGACCAATCAATGATACCGACGATTCATGGTCAGAAATTTTTGGCCAACAAAAAACAATGGTTTTCCGCTACCGATTTCCAAACATTACTTAGCCGTCAATTACAATCAAACTACTATTGTTGGCCAAACTGTCTGATAAACATACTGTCCGCGACATTCATACTGCCATTAGCCCTGATAATCATCTATCATTATAATATGGATATCGTACTAAATAAAACTGATTGTTGTTACGATAGGCAATTGTTGGACCAATTAGTTGGCCGATTGTGTATAGTTGCCGATACTAATACCCGGCACCGACAGCGTACTGAGCTATCACTTAAACAAGCTATTACCCTAAATGTTTTATGGCTTATTATTATCAATATGTCGACAGCCCTGTTAACTGTATTGAAATATTATCGGGAAATTAAGCTGACAATTACCGAACATCAAAACGGTAAATATATATATAATATATATATATATATATATAATTTTATAATAATAATTAATTAATATCAATAATAATAATAATATATAATTAATTTTAAAGTATAATATAAATATTTGTATATTTTATTTTAATATTTAGAAAAAAAATCAATATTTTTATCAAAGTTTAAAAATAATTTTATTTTTATTATTATCATTACACACACATACATACATACATACATAAACTTGAATATACTAACACACATACACATACATAAACTTGAATATACCTAAACACACACACACACACACACACACACACACATACATAAACTTGAATATACTTACACACACACACACACAYACATAAACTTGAATATACTTACACACACACACATACACATAAACTTGAATATACCTACACACACATACACATACATAAACTTGAATATACCTAAACACACACACACACACACACATAAACTTGAATATACTTACACATACACATACATACATACATACATACATACATACATACATACATACATACATACATACATACATACATACATACATACATACATACATACATACATACATACATACATACATACATACATACATACATACATACATACATACATACATACATACATACATACATACATACATACATACATACATACATACATACATACATACATACATACATACATACATACATACATACATACATACATACATACATACATACATACATACATACATACATACATACATACATACATACATACATACATACATACATACATACATACATACATACATACATACATACATACATACATACATACATACATACATACATACATACATACATACATACATACATACATACATACATACATACATACATACATACATACATACATACATACATACATACATACATACATACATACATACATACATACATACATACATACATACATACATACATACATACATACATACATACATACATACATACATACATACATACATACATACATACATACATACATAAACTTGAATATACTTACACATACACATACATACATACATACATACATACATACATACATACATAAACTTGAATATACTTACACATACATACATACACATACATAAACTTGAATATATTTTACACACACATAAACTTTAATATACTTACACATACACACACACACACAMACACACACACACACACACACACACACACACACACACACACAAACACACACACACACATACACACCTAAACCCCACAAACAAAAAATAGGTTGGTATAGCCCGGGCATCTACTACTGGGTATCAACTATTGTCGAACTAATACCACTGAGCCTATCGTTGGCCATCTATGTCTATCTGGTCGACTATCATCAATCATGGCAATCGTTTATCATCTACTATACTGTCTACATGTTGAACATACTGTGCACCCAATGTCTGGCCAAACTAGTCAGCTGTCTATTATACAACAACACCACTATCAACAATAGCACCAACACTATGATAGCCAGTCTAATCATATTATTTCAGCTGATATTAATAGTAACACTATTTTTCAATTCACGACCCCAGGATCTACATTGGTTACCCCAGTCAATAGCCCGGATCAGTTATATGAAATATACATTTGATTGCCTATTGATTCAGCTGTATGGTTGGACCAGATGCCTACCATTGCCAGGTACGGTACCAATGGTACTCAAGTTATACAAGATTGATGAGTCTAGTTATTGGCCAAATATGGGCCATACATTGGGTTTGGTAGTTGGCCTACAATTGTTGACAATGACCATGGTTATCTATAAAATTAAATCATCATCGTAGTAATTTTWTATATATATATATATATATAAAATAAATACATATTAATATTAGCTATTAAATTAATACTAATTTTTATAATAATTTATGATAATTTAAATAAATAAACTTATTTTTCTTTATACACACATATTGTATTATATTTTTAAAAATTATAATTTTTAATATATATTGTATTTATTTATTATTATTTATATTTTTTGTAATATTAATATTTTCTAATAAAACTTTCAATAGTTTTATTTATTATAATCATATTTTTTTGTTTGTGTATATCTATAAAAAAAATAAATACATATTAATAGCTATAAAATCTAAAAACTATTTTTTAATTTTTTTAATTACGTTTTGTTTGTTTGTTTATATTTTATTTTTATATATTGTATAATATTTATTTTTAAAAATTAATAATAAGTATAATTTTTTTTCTATAATTAATAGATATATTTTTATTTATTTTTTCTAATATTTATATTTTCAATTAACAAAACTTAATTTTTATTTTAATATTTTTAATATTTTTTGTTTTATTTTAATGAATTTTTGTGTGAATTTCTATATAAAAAAAATATTTTTTATAATAATGTTTAATGTTTTATATATATATATATAAATATAAACTTCATATATATTTTTTTATTGTTAATCGATTTGACAAATAAATATTATTATTAATATTATTATTATATTTGAATTAATTTCTATTTATAATAATAATAATAATAAAAAATCATTTATTACATGAATATAAAATAATCTTATGTTTGAGAAAATAAAATTTTTATTATATTCAATATTAATAATAATTTATGATTATTATTATTATTAGTGAATATAACTATTAAATATCAATTGAATTTAGTTTTATAAATAGTTTACAACAACAAACAACAAAAAATTAAACGATTAAATTGTTAATTGAACTAAAATTTTTTCAAATAATACACAAAAAATAAAAATATATGTTCAAAAAAAATCAATATGATTTTTTTGAATATATATATACATATACAGTACATTATATTTTTAATAGTAAAATATATTAATAAATTTTAATGATATATATATATATATATATATAATTATTTAATATAGTAAGATATATTATTATTATTATTATTATTATGTATATAAATAAATTAATAGTAGTATACATAAAAATTATTACGTATAAACATACAGAATATTCTGTATGTATACTRTATTACAGTATATACTATACATATATATTGCAATTTTACGGATAAAATATGGGTCATAGCTATAAATTACTGTATAATTTAGTACTAAACTCTGTACAGTAAATGGACATATCATATGGTTATACAGTACAGTATATACTGTATATATATACCAACCATACAGTTGATCCCGTTTTTCTATTGGGCGCATGTATTGTATTGATGTCTCGGATAGATAGACAAGAGAGAGAGAGAGAGAGAGAGAGAGAGAGAGAGAGAAAGAGAGAGAAAGAGAGAGAAAGAGAGAGAAAGAGAAAGAAAGAGAGAGAGAAGAGAGAGAGAAGAGAGAGAAAGAGAGAGAAAGAGAGAGAAAGAGAGAGAAAGAGAGAGAAAGAGAGAGAAAGAGAGAGAAAGAGAGAGAAAGAGAGAGAAAGAGAGAGAAAGAGAGAGAAAGAGAGAGAAAGAGAGAGAAAGAGAGAGAAAGAGAGAGAAAGAGAGAGARAGAGAGAGAGAGAGACATACAGACAAACACCCAAACATATAGACATACTGTATATATATCTGAATATATATATATATACATTAAATATACATATAAAGTATATATGATATCTAATGCGGATAATCATCAAAAAAAACTGGTGGTTCTGGTATAGTGAACACTAACAACAAAAATACTGTATATATATATATATATATATAAAAACACTTAAAAATATTACACGAATTTAATAGTTATATTGATCTCTCTCTCTCTCTCTCTCTCTCTCTCTCTCTCTCTCTCTCTCTCTCTCTCTCTCTCTCTCTCTCTCTCTCTCTATAACTGCATCTCTAAGACAACCATCACATCACCATTGAGTTGGTCTCCTATTTTTTTGTTGGTTTGTTTGTTGTCAACACCAGTGTATATACAGACTAACAACACATATATATTGAATTGATATTTATTTTATTTAAGTGTTTCTAATATATATATAACTGTTTGTATATATATGCCTAATAAGTAAAAAAAAACAACAAAATTATCAATAATACTAATTAATTCTCAACAAAATTAATTAATTAATTTTTAATTAATTTCAAACAACAACAATGGCTGGTATGTCAGTATGTAAGGAACGGATGCAGAAGCGTATTGAGAAACGACAGGGAAATCTCGATGACATACTAGTGTTTGATGAGGACATACCCCGTGAGGCCAGGCTATCGTTTGTTGATTTTGCACCCACTGTTAAACATACCAGAGATGGTAACAACAAAAGCGTTGACTATTAGTAAGTAATTGATTTGATTGACTGATTGATTGATTTGTTTTATATATACTGTATATATATATATATATATATATATATATTTATTGAAATAATATTTTTGTTGTTGTATTAGTAATTGTTAGGTATTATTGTATTAGTAATTGTGATATAATTTTTTTTTAATAATCATTGAATATTATTATTAATTTAAGTATTAATTTAAGTATTAATTAAGTATTAATTTTTATACTAATTTTTAGATTAATTATAAATATTTATAAGAAATAATTAAATTATAAACAAAAAATAATAATTACAAATATTTATATTATTATTATTATTATACTATTTTAAATATATTTGATTTTAATTAGTTATTTTTTTATTAATATTTTTATTAAAATATTTATTATATATAAATATATATTGTATTATTATAATTATCTAAATTTAGTTAAATTCAACATTTTGTTTAACTGTTGCTTTTTTTTGTTGTTGATTATATTTAATATTCAAAAAAATAATATATTCAATATATTGATTAAATCTATATAAGTTATACTGTATATACAATATAATTGAGATAACATTAATTCATATAGTTATTATTATTATTATTATTATTGATTAATTAAAATGTAACTGTTTATATATAATTGTATTTAATCAATTTGATTTTTTGAGTTATACGCCTATCTATTAAAATATTATTTATTTATTTTAGTTAAGTTATCACATAATAATTATTGAACAATATATTGTTTACAATCTTATTGATTTATTATTTAAAAATTATAAATTACAATAAATTTAATTAGCTAACAAAAACAACAAAATTTTATTATGTATTATGAAAATATTATGTATCAAATAATTAAAAAAAAACAGATTAAATAAATATTTTTTAAATAATACCGTAATTTTAATACAGTATATTAAAACTAAATTATTTTTGTTAATAGTTGATATAATTTTAATACTAAATAATAATACAGTAATATTAATAATAATAATTAAAAAAAATATATAAAATTTAATTAAAACTAATATATTACAATTGTGATAAATAATTATCAAATTTTTGTTTAGCTAAAAATATTAATTAACTTAAATTTTTTTTTTAATAATTAAACAAAAATTGTTATTTAATTGTCAATTTACAAAAAAAAACTTTAAAATTATTATTATTTAATTGTTTGTAAATTAATAATATATTAAACTAGAAATCTATAAGTACTGTATATATATATATACTGTATATAGTATGGTATATTTATATAATATTATTATTAATAATAATAAAAATAACAATAATAACTATAAATAAAAATTTTTTTAAAAACTATAAATATATTATAAAATTGTATTTTTAATTTAATTTAAATTTTTTTTTCTGGAAAAAAACAGTGCACTCGTCGACTACGCTAACAAATGGCTAGAGAGGACAGGTAGCCGATGGGATGTAGTCAACTGTGAAACAGTATCGGCAATCATACAGTTGGTTATTGAACGGGGAGAAGCTATTAGCAAACAGATACTGATTGTCTACCGAAGCAACGAACTAACGGATGTACCGGGAGGTGCGGCACCGCCCGGTCGGGTAACGGCCAACTATCGGGTAACTATGTTGCGCCTATGGATACGGCCAGCAGTCCAACAGCAGCCGTACGGCAATCAACCAATAATTATACAGTTTAGCGATTATAAACCCGAACAACAAGTGGTGGGCAACGGCGGGGGCGGCGGCGGCGGCGGTGGTGGCGATGATAAGTGTTTAGAAACTATCGATGATGTGGTCAGACGTTTGAACGATGACGACACGATCAATGGCCGTATACTTAATGTACAGACCGTAGGTTTTACGGCAACATCGGATGGCCAGTTAGATACCGGGTATACACAATCGACTCAGTGGTCGGCCCGTACGGTATATGTGTTGCGTGTATTTTATTTGTTGGGCGGCCGCCAGGATGGCCTGGTATCGGTCATCGACTTTATGCCCGATTTGATTGAAAAGGGTTCGATGTTTCGTAGGCCAAAATACGAGTCACAGTCGGCACTGGTAGGTAAGGCCTACAAGTGGTTGACAGCCAACAGTGGCGTCCAGTTTCTGAACGCCGAATCGGTGGACATGAAACTCAAGTCATGTAATTATATATATTTATATATATATTATATTAACCACTATTTAGTATATAAATAAGCTAACTGTGCGCTAACTATCTATCCTAATCTAACACACCCATTAGCTAACAAACAAATGTCTATAGCAAGAGATACCGGTGATTACATACGATTTTTGAGGATAGCCTATATTAAAGGTCGGGCCAATGGTACCGGTGCTGCCGGTGCCGGTGCTGTGGACGTACAGCCACCGTCAGAGTCACACAACAACAACAACAATAAGCAGCCCCTGTATCTGGAAAGTCGGACTATTGTATTGCATAAAAACTATGCGGAACTTAAGCGCACAATTGCCGACTATGTATCCGGGGATCAATGGTCGGCCGCTGCCAACGGTGCTGTCGTCGGTAACCAACAACAACAGTGGCTAATAAACAGTTGCGAAACTGTTACAGTATTTTCTAGCAATGGTAACCGTCCGGCACTTGAAGCCAATGGCGATCAATCGTTTCAGACACTAATGGTGTCCAATATGTCGGTCAACAAAACTGAATACTATGCCATCCGTCTATATTTTGATGGTAAAGATCCTAATAAGGAGTACCCAACCACCAGTGGTGGTGATACCGGTGCCGCCAACACTGATGGCACCGTTAGCCGTAAGTCGACGTGTAAAGTATGCTAAACAAAACTGATGATAAGATTTTTGATTTTATTAATTAAATTAAATTAAATTAAAAAAATTTTTGCTTAAATAAACTATTCATACGATAAGTCTATATATATATATATTAATTTAATATTTAAAAAAAACTAACAAATTTTTAAAAAAAATATATATATATATATTTAAGTGCTAATAATTTATTATGTTTGTTATATAAATTTTAAATATATATATATATATATAGCTATAAAATATATGATAAAATTATATTAAATTAAATTTTAAATTTTTTTTGTTATGCTATAAATTATTGCATTATTTATTGTGTGATAATTATTGTAATTATTAATTATATAATTATATGATATATATATAATATAAATACTATCATTAAATATATAAATATAATTTAAATTTAATTTTAAATAATACATAAATATAAATAATATGATAACTTTTTAAAAAAAACATGCAAACAATAAAATTATTAAAACATATTTATATAATGAATATTTGTCACAAAAAAAATATTATTTTAAAAACAAAAAATGATAATAAAATTTATATTATTGATATAAAACATTTGTAATTTACAATACAGTATATAATAATTTATAAGTAATTAATTAGATATTAAATTAATTTAATTTTGTTTTATTAATTTATAGTTTCAATAGTGTAAAAATAAATTTGTTTATTTAATATAAAATTAATAAATATGTTATTTATTTGCTATTTAATTTCCATTATGTAAATTTTTTATTAAATTAGATTTCATTATTATTATTATTATTTATTTTAAAAATTAGTATAATATTAATAATTATATTTTTAATATTTAATATTTGCATTTTTATATATTAAAAAAAAATCTAATCATGTTTAATGTTTTTTTTTATAATAATAAATATAAACTACTATACATACATATAATTATTGTTAATTTATTTAATAAATAAATATTATTACATTTTTTTGAAAGCTATTAATATATATTTTTAAAAAAGTTTATTTCAGTTATATTTATTTAATTATTATAATTTTATTCAATAATAATAATAATAATCATAAATTATTTTATTAGTATTATATTTATTAAGTATAATATTTCAAACAACAATTCACAAAATAAATAAACTTATATTAAAATTTTGAATCTAATAGTTTTATAAAAATAGCCACAAAAAAACAAAGTTAAAACATATTAAAAGCTTTTACATAAAAATAACTAAAAAAAATTAAAATAATGTATATTCACACACAAAATAACAATTTAATAAAATAATTTAATAGTTTATACAGATTATATATATATAAATATATATATAATATTAAAGTCAATTTTATTTTTTTTACACTATAATATATATTAGCAAATTAATGAATTTTTATTATAATAATCATTTATTATAAGATACATATATATGATATATATATATAACTTAATAATAGTGTAGAAAAATACATATATATATATATATATATATATATTACAGAATATTCTTGATATATATATAATTGATGCCATTATTGACGATTTGTACTCTACTATATGAGTCATAGCAAATAAAAAAATTTTTTTTATTATACTTTTATAATGTTTATACAGTACAGTAAACTTAATGGACATTATATATACTGTATATATATACACACAGTTTATATATACATAACCCGTTTTATTGGGCACATATATACTGTATATGTTTCGGATAGAGAGAGAGAGAGAGAGAGAGAGAGAGAGAGAGAGAGAGAGAGAGAGAGAGAGAGAGAGAGAGAGAGAGAGAGAGAGAGAGAGAGAGAGAGAGAGAGAGAGAGAGAAAGAAAGAAAGAGAGAGAGAGAGAGAGAGAGAGAGAGAGATCAATAAAATTATTAAATAAAAAAATTATTTTGTTTTTTGTTTTTAGTGTTCACTATAACAGAACCACCAGTTTTATGATTATCCGCATTATATATCATATACAGTATATACTCTCTATATATATATACCGTATATTATGTACAGTTCAAGTACAAGTAGTGTCTGTGTGTTGTTTGGGTGTTTGTCTTTATGTTTGGGTGTCTATCCTCTACTACTCTATCTCATAGACAACCATCACATTGACTCCGTGACTCTCTACTCCCATACAAAAGTACAGTACAATCAGTATATAGTACACACACACACATACACATACTGTAAATTAGATTGACGTTATAATTATTATTATTTTTTATTATTATTGGATGTTTCACTATATATCAATATATATACTAATACTGTATATAATATACATGCATAATAATAATAAATATAAACTAATTTATTAATTTGTAACTAAACTTATTTTTATCTAAAAAAAAGTTATTAATAATAATTAATTAATAATAAAAAAAACTTTATACAGTATATATATACAAGTAAATAAATTTCAAATAAGTATATATATATATATATATATATATATATAAAGTTATTATATTTGATTATAGTTTTTTTTGTATAGTTATAAAATTGATAATGAAATAATATTTTATTAGTCATAGTTATTGAATACTATTATTTTTTTTTAATTTATTATTATTATTATTATAAATTAATTTATATTATAAAAACATTTGTTTTTTTTTTGAGCATAATATTTATTATTTAGTTAATAGAGTAAATATATTTATCTAATATTAATAGATTAAGTATTTTTTTCAACTATTGTTTTAGTTTTAATTACTAAATATATATTTTAGTATATATATATACTGTATATATATATATACAGATTTATATATTTATATATACAGTAATATAATATAACTTACATGTATATATTTATATTGATTATTATATTTGTTTATAATTTATAAACTTTATACTGTATATACAGTGTATACAATAGATTTAAGCAATTTATTTTAGTAACGCCTATCTAAACAAAAAATATTATTTATTTATTTTAGTTATTATTATTATTATATTTAATATTACTATGATTATATATACAGGTATATTTATTTTATTTTATTTTTTTTGAAATAAATTATTACTTATTTACGTAAACAAATTTATATAAAACTATACAAACTGTTTGTTTGTTAAACACAAATATTTAATAATTGATTGAATCATATCAATGTTTATAAATTAATTAATCAATAATAATATTCATACTAATAATTTATTAAACAATAGATTTTAATATTGATTACAGTGACTTAATTAAAATATAATAATAATATTTAGTTTATAATTTTATTTGATGTCAAAATATTATATTTATAATACAAAAGATTTTATAGATATTATACTAAATATATATATATAAATTATTTTTTTTAAATATAATAATAAAATAATATTAATAAAAAAATAAATTATAAAATATAATTATAAATTATATAGCTATGTTATTTCTTAAAAATATTTATTACTATTTTTTGCTAAAAATATTAATTAACTTAAAAAATAATTAACAGTTTAAAAATTAAATTTTTAATTTTCTATTCAAAAAACTTTAATTATATCTAAATGTTTATCAAATAATATTATAAATATTAAATAAAAATCTATATATTATAATATAATAAAAAATATTAACATTGATAAATATCTTTATATACAATTATTATAATAATTGAATGTATAAATAATATACTTTTATTTAAAATATATATAATTATTTAATTTTTTAATTATATATATTATTATGATAATAATAAATATTTTTAAAATAAGTAAACTTTAAAACATTTGTGTAAATTAATATAGATTTTTAACATTATTATTATTTTTATTTTAAATTAATTACTATGAATAATATGACTAATATAAATATTAAATTATAGTAAATATTTTATTATTTAAATCTTTAAAAAAATCATAAGTTTATAATTTTTTTTATAAAAAATAATTATATTTTATTTTTCTATAGAAATATTGAAATTTAATATTATTATTATTATAGTTTAAAGAAATTTTTTTTTAAATGTAACTTTACTTAACAGTTATAATATTTATTTGTACAAATAAAAAAAATATATATATATACGTAAATTAAATGATGCATTTAAATAAAAAAAAAATAAAATAAAATAATAATTGCATAAAAATCACGTATCAATCGTTATTTGTTAAGATATAATATATATATATATATTTTTTTTTTTGAAAAATAAAATATATATTTATCACATTTTATTATAATAATTATTATTATTAGTCAACCATTGACTTGTTTGTATGAAAAAAAAAATTATATTTATATTTAAACTATAAAACTATAATAATAACTACAAATAATTCATCAAAAAAAAATCATTCAATTTTATGGGTATTTATAAGACAATTAACGGCCAATTGTTGGCCATTGTTATCATTGTATTGTGTATTGTACACAACCGGTCGATTAGTAGCAGCACCGGTAGTAATAGTAGTAGTAGTAATAGTCAACAAACCAATACTATCCAACCAAACCATACTAATAATAATAATCATAATTTGATTACCGACTACTCGGACACCAATGGTTGCAATAATATAACGACTGTCCTAAACAACAACAACAACAACAAAAACACAGACCTACAAACAAATACTACTACTAATAATGATAACAACAAAATGGACACAAATATCGGCAGCCAATTAGCGGCGGCCAATACGACTGATTGTCCGCCGGCACTAATATCGGCCGTAATGTCCGCAAAGTCGGTACACGTATTGTTTCGCGAGTGCGCCGACAATTGTAACCGTTTGTGTCGATACAAACGGTACGCCATAATCACGTCCCGGCGCGACATTAGTAAACGTATTAACGGCTGTCGTAAAAGTTGTTCACGAAATAGGTGTCGGTATGTAATCATAGATATATATATATATATATTAATTAATTAATTAATTTTATTTGATTTTTTTTTTGGGTATATAATAGACTTCATAGCCTGCAAAACATGAATGCCGAACAAAGTGCCCAACTATTGACCGAAACTTAAAAAAAATGCAAAAATTACAAAAAAAATTATTTATTTTAAATTTTTTTAAAAAAAATTAATTACATTWTATATATATATATATATATATAATATTTTCATTGTTGTTATTAGAAAAACATCATTATTTATTTATTAATTTAGTTATATAGTTATATAGTTATATATTAGATTTTGTTTATTTATGTATATATATATATATATATATATAGTTTAGTGATAATTTATTAATTAAATTTAATTTAATCAATTTAATTAGTAAGATTATTTTGTGGTGCATAAATATTATTTTTTTGTTTAATTATTATCAATTAATTAATTAATTATAGATTTATAAATAAAATTATTGTTTTTTTTTCTTAAATAAATAAGTAATTAATATCATTATATATATATATATATATTGACTTAGTTTAGTTGATACCACTGTATAGTATAGATGCACACTAGTAGCTAAATCACACGGCTGTCCAAAATAATTGGTGGTCACTAATAGCTTCTACATGTATTTAGGGTCTGTATTTTGGTGCATACCTATATTGAATAATAATAATAATAATAATATAGTTAAAGTACTGTATAAAACTGTATAGACTATACAATGTTGTAATTGAATACCTGGCACTTAACATAGCAGCACCAGTAGAACTTGCATTGGCATCGGTAGCTAAGGGACAGCCGTTCAGTACGATAGCCACTACCGCAACAAACATGTTCGCAACTATCAGTACCGGTTGACGTTTTGTTACACTGGCGACCCTCAGTACCATATAATCCTTGTTTAGGATTTACATGACAATAGTCAGGCGATACATCCAGATATATGAGCTGATCAGCACCAGTAGCAGCAGCACTAGCATCCCGTTCCCCTATCCTATTATAATAATGATGGCGTCTGCCTCTAGTTTGCGACAACCGTTGTCTCAGTGGTGGTGGTAGTCTGTGGGCCATCATCTGTGTTGTCTGGCTGTCCCTGACATGCCTGGCCCGTCTATATCTGTCCATTAGTCGGTTGCTGACCGTCCGAAACGATGGTAGAGTTCGCCAACAAGTTCGGGCCAAACACGAGGCACTGACACCGTGACACTTGCATACAATACGGGCCGTACGGAGGACAGCCTATAATATATAGATAACAATGAGAGGAACTGGTGTTTAGTGGTAGATGTTTGATAGGATCTACCCATATATAACTAACTACCTGACGGCCCACTTGATTATTATGCAAATACATTGCCGCTGTCGAGTCCCGATTGGCTAGTTCGCCCGTATCGGTAAACTGGTGGACAAATCGTGCGGCCGATCGTAGATCGGGTGAACAGCCGCCCCATGAAAACTGGCCGCGCGAGTCCCATCCGCGACCACCACTACCCGTAGTAGTAGACAAACGGTTCAGATCGCAACTACTAGTGCAACCAGTGGTCATCAACAATTGGCTACCTGTGCCACCACTACACCAGCGGGCTATGGAGTAGACGGCACCGGCACTGGTGATGGCATAGATGAACGCTGTCTCCCGGCTCAGGGCTATACAAACAACAACAACAACACTGTATAATATATTTATATATAGATATGTTTGGTCTAACCATTGATAACATGTCTACCAAACAGTGTACTATCACTGGGACTGGTAGTACAGTTCCAGCGATGACTGGCAAACTGGCGCTGACACTCATCGATGGCCAGCCGTACGCCCGATGCCAGCGACCGCATTAGCTGCGGATGTTTAGCGCATAGTTGTCGCTGTTGTCTGTCCAGACCGGGTATCCGACGGCAAACTAGACGACTGTCCCCGCCATCGTATTGACTCAATAGCCTATATTTTATATATTATATATAAAATTTTGTTATTAATTATTATCAAATAAACAATTGAATTGTAAAATTGAAATTTATTTAAATAATACTTTATATATATATATATATATATATTCCTATTTAATATATAGTAAATAAAATATTTGAAAACAATTAATATATGATATATAATAGTTGATTAAAAATTAAAATTAAATTATAAAAAAAACTAATAAATAATAATAAAATTATTATTATTATTATTAATAATTTACCACCACTTGGCATCACATAAATTGTTGTTAATATAGATTATGATTATTATTATAGACCAGTTAATAATAGTTAGTTTTTTATTAATAATTAAATAATAATATTGAAACATGATTTTCATAGACAAACAAATAATTAATACATAATTATTTATTTAATAAATAGATATAAAATATTATTATTTTTAAAAAAAACTTTCAAATATTGACATTTTTATATATATTGTTGATTGACTAGTAAATTGGCTAGGACAGTCATAGTATTTTTTGTCATATATATATATATTTGACCATGGAGCACTGGTATCTCTGAAAATTTTAAACTAACTGTATGAGTGTGTGTGTGTGTGTGTGTGTGTGTGTGTGTTTTATGTGTTTGTAATCTAACTGTGCTCATGGATTATTTAGGGGTTTTTTTTGTTGGTTGTATTGATAATATTTTAATGGATATTCAATTTTTAACAATAAGGTCACACACACACATAGATACATACATACACACATACACACACACACACACATAGATACATACACATACATACACACACACACACACACACATTAGCATAACATACCTCTATAGAAAAAAACTCATGTAATATGAGAGGAGCTCTAAGTAATGTTTAAAATTTTGAATAAAATAACTAATGTTGTAGTTTTTATTTGTATTATTATTATTATTACTTTTATAAAGTTTTATATAACATTAGGTAGAAATTATACTGTACTATACAATAATAGATTACACACACACACACACACACACACACACACACACACACACACTGATTGCTGGCACATCAACTGCTATAATCCCTTTCCTCTATACCTACATAAGCTCTCTCTCTTTATTTTATTCACTCACTATGTAATACAGTATATATGTTAATGTAGTTTTTTTTATTGGGTATTACTATTACAATGAAAAGGTGTAATCAAGTGTCGATAATCCCTATAAATTAGTCTCAAATCTCACGGCACATACACATACACACAGATACACATACACACATACACACACACACACGCATACACACATACACACACACACGCATACATACATGCATACATACATGCATACATATACACACACATACACACACATACACACACACATACACACACACACGCATACATACATGCATACAAACCGATTAAGTAATGAATTTTATTTTTGAATAGCAATTTCGTTGAAATAAAAATAAAACATTTATTTAGTATTTAGTATATATATATATATTGTTAATAATAATAATAATAATAATAATAATATTTTTTTTATGTTAAAAGTTTCAAAAAAAATATTCAATTTATATACAGATTATGATATGATTTGTATGAATTGAAAAAAACATTGTCTGCCTGTCTGTCTAACTGTCTGTCTAACTGTCTGTCTAACTGTCTGTCTATCTATTATGACTGCAAACTGGATATTACTTCAATAGATGGTATGAAAAATGATTTAAATTTTTGTGGTTTTTTGATATTTTTCGGTAATTTCGGCAATGATTTACACTTATCGGATGACTCGTCATAATCGCCGCACAATAGGTTCATTGAATTGCCGGCCACACTGTCGACAAAACGGTCGACAATTTCCATATCCCTGTCCGTACAGTCGGTTATTTTTGCCGATCCCTCCCGATTGCACTGTTTGTTTGTATTGTATTCACTGGTAATAAAATTAATTAATTAATTAAAAATAATTATTAATTATTTTTTATAAACAAACTATTATTGTTATTATTATATTTCTATAAAAAAGTTAATTAAATTAAATGTTGAAAAACTATTTAATTTATTAATTAATTATTAATACGATTGTAATAAACAGTTTTAAAAAACAACAATTTATTAATTATTATATTATTATAAATAATTTTTTTGTTTAAATTTCTAACATAATATTATACCAGTATATTATTATTATTATTATAAATTAAAATGTGTTAATAATAATAATGTTTTTTAGAAACTAAAGTTTTTTTTTAAAAATTTAATTATACTTTAATTTAAAAAAATAAATAAATAATATTTTATATTAATATATATATATATTAATTTTCTACTCCTAAAAAAATCAACTCATAAATTATCTATAAATTATTTTATAGTAATAATAATAATATTTTAAAAAATATAAAAATTCATATATCATATGTTACTAATTATAATTATACTAATATTAAAATAAATTTTTATAAAAAAAATTCATATATCATATCATATGTTACTAATTATAATAATAATATTAAAATAAAACAAATAATATCAAAATAAATAAAAATAATTATATCATATGTAACTAATTGTAATACTAATAATATTATTAAAATAAAACAAATAATATTAAAATAATTTTTTTTTAAATTATATCATATCATATGTTACTAATTATAATAATACTAATAATTATTATTATGTAACTCAACCATCACTTACCAGCACAGGTGCGGTATTTTCATGGTATCCGAGGCCAGCAATCGGATACGTTGCAAGTGGTCGACTGTCCTCTGGACACATTTCGTAAACACTGGTTTCGCCCGATTAACACATTTGGATGCCGACAACATATCCCGGAGCCGTTGGGTCGGTTTGGTTTTGCACAGTTGTGTCAATTGTGATTTAATTGTAAATACATAGACGGAAAACAATTGTTTGGATAGTTGTGTTTTTGTACATTTTTTTACATACTGTTCCACTGATTTAACTAATAATTGTGTTTCACTTTTTCGGGAAAAAAATAAATTATTTAAATAATTATTAGTTTTTTTTGTGATAAAATCTAATTCAAATTAAGTAATTACTTGCAAAACGCCGGTATCTGGTCTTGAGATTCGGGAAACTCGCGGCCAGAATCACCGAAAGTCAATACACGGGCCAACAGTGCGTCCACTTGTTTTTCGCCGTTTTTATTACACGGTATGCTATTATTATTATTATTATTAGGTGTTGTTGTTTGTTGGCCACTGACCACTACTATATGATTACCGATAGTTGTTATTATTATTATTGTTATGGAAAACAATAGTGAAATAAAAATTTTAAACATATTTTTTTAAATATAAATATAAATATCTTTTCTTTAAAAATAATTATTTATTTAATTTTATGAATATAAGTATTTATAATACAAAATTAATTAATTAATTAATTAATAACACTATAATAAATATCATAGATTATTAAATACAAAATACAATGTATATTATAATAAATACATTGATTGATAGATTTTATTTAAAAAAACTAATTTTTATAATTTAACAAAATTATAAAAAAAATATAAATATTTTTTTTTTATTTCTCAAATAAATACTTTTATACTTTTACTAAACAATAATAAACTTTATATTTATATACAAAAATTTAGTATTATTTAAAAAAAATAATAATAATTAGTCACAAAAAAAAACAAATCACAAAAAACATCTCTAAATTATATATATATCTCTGTATTTGTACTGTAATTTCAATGTCAGTTAAAAAACAAAACATAAAAAAATTGTTCACAAAATTCATAGAAAACAAGTTTTTATTTATTTTATTATTTTTTGATAAAAGAAAGTTTTTATTAATTTTTTATTTAAAATTTTTTTTTGTGTGATTATAATACTGTACTTAAAATATATATAAACACACAATAAATAGTGATAATAATAATAATAATAAAATCAAAATTACAATTATATATATGTTTTGTTTGATAGCTAATATGATATTAAGTTGTTTTAAGTTTATTTATTAACACACATTAAACCTAAATAATAATAATAATAATAATAATAATAATTGTGTGAAATATAACCTTAAACTTGTTTATCAATTTGTTTAATCTCTCTCTCTCTCTCTCTCTCTCTCTCTCTCTCTTACTAACTATCACTTTAATAAAATCACCTTGATAAGTATGTTCAATTTTTTTGTATAGCTAAAAAATTTTTTTGTAGCTAATTGTATGTACCAGGTCATTGTAACAAAATAAATAAATAATCAATTTGATTCAGGGCAAACTAATTATTTATTATTGTTATTATTARAATATATATATATATATATATATATTAAATATTAATTAGTATTAATCATTAATAATAAAAACTGTTATTTTCTTAGAATTGAATTAAAAAATAAATAAATAATTTTAATATTTAGATAATTATTTTATTTTTTTTATTAATAGTTTAGGTAATAACATGTTTATAAAATAAATTATTTATTTATTTATATTATTATTATTATGATTACTATTATGTATTAGAGTAAATATTTATTATTTATTATATATATATTGTAAATTAAAATTTAATTATATTATTTATACAAATACATTTTAAAATTTATTTATTTAATTATTATTATTTTTGTGAACAATTATTGAGGACAAGGGCGCCTATTATTGCTAAATAATTTTTTTCAACTATTGATAACCAAAAAAAAAATGTGATCACAAAATAAAAATATTTGTATTTTAATACATAATTTAATTTAAATATATTGTATGTCTTTGTCTTATTTTTTTAAAATAAAAAAAATGTGTATAAGTTTTGTTAATATTATTAAAATATATTTTTTTGACTATAAAAAACAATATTGTTTAGGTTTTAATTTAATTTTAAAAATCATTACAATTATTTGTAATTTTTTTAATTAATAAATAAAAAATGCTTTCTAATAAAATCAATATTTTATTATTTTCAATAAAATTAAATGTACTAATCATTTGTTATTATTATTATTTTTTGCTATTTAATTCAATTTAAGTTTTGATTCAATATATTTTTAATATAATTTTTTTTAAATATACAGTAAATATCATAAGTTTATAAAATTAATTATCAATAAAACATTTCTCTTATTATAAATGTTAACACATATATATACATTAATTAAAAAAAAATAATTTAAGTAATTATTTAAACAAAAATATAATATAAGTTATTTTTATTTATTTTTTTAAAAAATAAATTATTAGAAAATTTTTAGTAAATCAAATCATAGTATATTTGGCACAATATATTGATATATTAAATATATACAGTCTATTACAATATTTATGTTTAAATTTTTAAAAATAAATAAAATAAAATAACAATTATTGTTTAATCATTTAGACTGTTGTGTAAAGTTTTAATAAAATTAATTTTATAAAAAAAAAAATAATTAATTAATTAAAACATATTAAAACTACATATAATAATAATAATAATCGTATAAATATCAGTACTTTTTATATAATGATTATCATTATTCTATAGTTAAGATCATATTTTTTTATATAAAAAAAACTTTTAATTAATTATTAATATTACAATCAATTAGTTTTCCAATTAATTTTTTTTAAATAAATTATTTATTTTTAAAAAACAATAATTTTAGTATATATTTATTTTCTAAAATTAATTGATTTAATTTGATATAATTTTTCAATTAAAGTAAACTTAAAATAACAACAAAAAGCATCATGGTGAAATATCATATACTAGATATTTTAGTTTTAATGGTTGTATTGTCGGCTAAATTAGACGCCCAAATGACTACTACTAGTGCGCCCACTGCTGCACCCACTCCTGGACCAACTCCTGGACCCACTGGTGGACCCACTCCTGGACCCACTGGTGGACCCACTGGTGGACCCACACCTGCACCCACTGGTGGGCCCACTCCTGCACCCACTGGTGGACCCACTCCTGCACCCACTGGTGGGCCCACTCCTGCACCCACTGGTGGACCCACACCTGCACCCACTCCTGGACCAACTCCTGCACCTACTGCTGGACCTACACCACCGCCCGGTCTATTTGGTAGTATTTATTTTTTTTAATACCTATATTAATAATATACAGTACCTAATGTTATCTGTGTGTGTGTGTGTGTGTGTGTGTGTGTGTGTGTGTGTGTATTAGTTGTGACCATTAGCGAACCGGCCACAAACCGGGAGACCACCTATCAAGTAGCTGGCAATACAACCGTCGGTCAACTTAAACAATATTCGGCCCCATATTTTGGTTATACTGTACCCGAAATGAACTTAACATATATGTCGTTCATTGATCTTGTTGATAATACTAGACTATCCCAATACGGTATGACTACCGGTGCCACGATTACACTGACTAAAAGAGCCGACACAACGGCAGCACCGGTAGTAACTACAGCACCGGTAGTAACACAAGCACCTACTACTACTACTACTACTACCCAGCCATCATTTACACGATCGCCACTAGGAATACTAGCACCGGGTGGTCCTGGATCATTTAGTAAAAATTATTATTATTATTATTATTTAAGATATATAAACAAAAAAATAAGCTAGCTAAATTATATTTTTAAAAATTGCTAATTGATACCAATGACTGTATATACACTATATATATATATATACACGTATATATAGACTAAAATTTAATAATAATATATTAATTAATTAATATTATTAGTATTATTAATATTGATTAATTAAGATATTAATTAATAATAATAATAATATACATAATTTAATATATTTATAATATTTAATAATAATATATTAATTAATTAATATTATTAGTATTATTAATATTAATTAATTAATATATTTATTAATAATAATAATAATATACATAATTTAATATATTTATAATATTTATAATTAACTAATTAATTAATTTTAATTTTATTGTTAAAATAATATAACTACTATTACCTACTATTACTATAGCTATTACGGTAACGGAGCCGCAAACTGGCCGATCGACTACCTATCAGTTCAATGGTAGTCTACTAGTCGATCAATTGCGCCGTATGACTGGCCAATATTTTGGCTATCCACCTGGGCAAATTAGGCTACAATTTGGCCCGTATTTTGCACTGAATAATGGTAACAAAATATGGCAATACGGTATCAATAAGCCATCGACAGTATTATTGTTTCACAAATAATTATAATAATAATAATTGAATTTTAATATTTTCTGTATTTTTTTAATAAACTATTTATTTATTTATTAACTAAAAATAATGTGATGTATAGTTTAGTTTTATAAATATATATTTATATTTAAATAATTAAATGTGTTTAGTTAGTATGTAATTTAATTTATTAAAATTTTTATTATAATAATAATTGAATTTTAATATTTTCTGTATTTTTTTAATAAACTATTTATTTATTTATTAACTAAAAATAATGTGATATATAGTTTAGTTTTATAAATATATATTTATATTTAAATAATTAAATGTGTTTAGTTAGTATGTAATTTAATTTATTAAAATTTTTATTATAATAATAATAATAATAATTCTGTAATAATTTTCAATTAGTTTAATGTAGTTATTTTTATTTAATAATTTATTTATTTTTTTGAAAATAAAAGTTAAATTTAATTTAAATATACTTTTTTGTGATTTAAAATAATAACTACATTTGACTAATCAATAGCAATTAGTATTGAATAAAAATTTTCCAAAATTATATATTTATTAAGTACAGTATATAAATATATTTTGTAATTTATATTTATTTATTTAATATATTTCTATTAGATTTACAATTATTTTTTTATTATTATTTAATATTCAACTATGATATTAAAAAATCATTGCTATTTCTAATGATTTGACAATAAAAAATCAAATGATTTTCATTGTTTTGTTTTTAATAATAATAATAATAATAATAATAATAATAATAATAATAATAATAATAATAATAATAATAATAATAATAATAATAATAATAATAATAATAATAATATAATAATAATATTRWTAATAATAATAATAATAATATAATAATAATATTAATATAATAATAATATTAATATAATTAAATTAATATAATAATAATATAATAATAATATAATAATAATAATAATAATAATATCAATAATAATAATAATAAYAATAATAATAATAATAATAATAATAATAATAATAATAATAATAATAATAATAATAATAATAATAATAATAATAATAATAATAATAATAATAATAATAATAATAATAATAATAATAATAATAATAATAATAATAATAATAATAATAATAATAATAATAATAATAATAATAATAATAATAATAATAATAATAATAATAATAATAATAATAATAATAATAATAATAATAATAATAATAATAATAATAATAATAATAATAATAATAATAATAATAATAATAATAATAATAATAATAATAATAATAATAATAATAATAATAATAATAATAATAATAATAATAATAATAATAATAATAATAATAATAATAATAATAATAATAATAATAATAATAATAATAATAATAATAATAATAATAATAATAATAATAATAATAATAATAATAATAATAATAATAATAATAATAATAATAATAATAATAATAATAATAATAATAATAATAATAATAATAATAATAATAATAATAATAATAATAATAATAATAATAATAATAATAATAATAATAATAATAATAATAATAATAATAATAATAATAATAATAATAATAATAATAATAATAATAATAATAATAATAWTAATATAATAATAATAATAATAATAATAATAATAATAATAATAATATAATAATAATAATAATAATAATAWCAATAATAATAATAATAATAATAATAATAATAATAATAATAATAATAATAATAATAATAATAATAATAATAATAATAATAATAATAATAATAATAATAATAATAATAATAATAATAATAATAATAATAATAATAATAATAATAATAATAATAATAATAATAATAATAATAATAATAATAATAATAATAATAATAATAATAATAATAATAATAATAATAATAATAATAATAATAATAATAATAATAATAATAATAATAATAATAATAATAATAATAATGTCAAAAATCTAATTGAAAAAAATGTTGACCTAACTCAATTTAGTAATTAATTAATTATTTTAATTATACAAAAAAAAATATTGTTTATTTTGTTAGATTTATTATTAATGTGAATAATTAAATATATAAATATATATATATATAATTGATAATTTAAATAAAATAATAGATATTATTTTTTTTATATTTAAACAATTACAATACAAAATTTTTACAAGTTTATTTTTTATTTTCAATTATAATATTAAAATGTTATTGATACTTTTTTTTGTTATTCAGAAATAAAATAAATGTTTTATCATTACAATGGGTATTGTTTTTCCCCCTATAATATATATACATATATAAATTATATATATATATATATATATATATATGATGCCACATCATATAAAAACATTTATATTATTATTATTAATAATGAAAAACATAGTAAACAGTTTAATTACAGTCAAATAGTTATAATTAATTAATAATCTCACTATAATATGTATTGAATATTATTATTAATAGTAGTAGTAATATAGTAGTAGTAGTAGTAGTAATATTAAGTTAATTTTTAAAAAAATAAATTATCTAGCTAGATTTTTTTGATGAAATAAAATATAATAATAAATGCAAAAATTCAATATGAATTATGCCATATGTTTTGTATTAATAATATTATTGCTAACAATTGTATCATCAAATTGTGATTTTGGTAAAGTATTTTACTATATTTTATATATTTATTTAAATAGTTTTAATTTTATAATATAATTACTATAATAATAATAATAATTATGTGTGCATTTATGTTTATGTATATGTGTCTAGGTATATGTGTGCCTATATGTATGTAATTTATTATCTAAATTTAATTATTATTTAATTAATTATATAAAAAAAAAATTTATAATAATTATATATCTATATTTATGTAGTTAAATAATTATTATTTTTATACAATTTTAATATTATTGTAATAATACAATTCAATTAATTACATATATTTAATTTAAATTACAATAATATATATTTATATTATAAAAACTCTAATTAGTTATTTAATAAAATATTAATTATTTAAAAAATTAATAATAATTATATATATATATATATATTTATGTAGTTTACTATATATATATTTTTTTAAATAATTTTAGTATAAAATTTATTATTATTAGTGGTGTAATAATAATTATCAATTATTACATATATTTAATTAAAATTACAGTAATATATACAATATATATATATATAAACTCTAATTATTAATAGTTTTTAAATAAAATAAATTAAATTTTTGAATATATATTTAATAATAATAATAAAAAACAATCGGTTTTTATGTATATTTTTTTTTTTGGTTTCAAGTAGTAGTGACCATAACTGAGCCGTCGACCAATCGGCAGATTGCCTTTCAGGCATCGGGTAATACATCCATTGGCCAATTGAAACAATACGCTGCACCCTATTTTGGACTAACTGTCCCTGAGATGAACCTAACCTATCAGGCATTCAAGGATCTAATTGATAATACAATACTATCGCAATACGGTATAACTACCGGTGCCAATATAACACTAGTAGTTAGACAATCGACAACAAAAACAACTGCAACAAAATCACCCAGATCATCATCGTCATCAGCAACAATAGCACCTGGATCATTAATTAGTTATTATTTTTCTATTATTATTATTAGTAGTATTATCATTGCCATCAATATGTCCAATTAATTTACCAATGTACATTTTTAATATAATTATTATTAATAATTTATAAAAATTTTTAGTATAATAATTATTATTATTAGTTTATTAATTTTTAATATAATTATTATTATTAATTTATAAATTTTTAGTATAATAATTATTATTATTAGTTTATATATTATTAATATAATTATTATTATTAGTTTATAATTATTTTTGTATAATAATTATTATTATTTTTAAAATTTTAATTCAATTATTATTATTATTAGTTTTTAAACAATTTTATTGATTATATTGTTTTTAAATATCAAACATATTGTATTATTTTTATTTGATTTTTAAATAATACAAATAAACATTACATTACATTTGTGTGAAAAATATAAACAATTAATTAATTAATATATCAATTATTTATTAACTATAACTATAAGTGTTTTTCAAATTTATTAGCAGTTAGTCATATGATTATATATATATATATTGTACATGTTTTTTGTTAAAAATATTTTTGTAATTTATTATTTGCTGATTAATGATATAAATGTGTATTTAAAAAAGTAATTTGCAATTGATTTGAGTTTATATATATAATATTTATGAAACTACATATTAAAAAAACTAATAGTTTTTTTTAACAATAATTTTTTTAGTATTTTTTGTTAAAAAAATATTAAGTAAATTTAAAAAATGAAATTATATTTATTAGCTTTATTAATAGTTGCATCATCAACTATTGTACTAGCTGAATCATCTAATAAACAATTTGGTAGGTATTTTATTTTTTTTAATAGTTATTAGATTTTTTAAAAAATATTTATATATTATAATTTAGTAATTGTATAAATTATTATTAATTTTTTTTGAATATTATTTTAAACTTATTATATAAGATTATAAGATAATAATTATGACAACAAAAATAAATAAATAGTATCTAGTTTTTTAAAACATAATAAAATAAAAAATATTAGAAAATAATAATCATTTATAAAAGTTAATTATGATATTTATGTATTTAATCTAGCTAATTTTTTGTTTTATTTTATTAAAATACACTATTTTTTAATTATTCTATAATTAATTATATTATTAATATTATTTAATTAAATATTTAATTGAATATTTGTTGTTTTTTGTAAAATATATATTTTTTAAAAATTAAATAAATATTTTGTTTTTTATTTTTAAAAGTGATTCACTTGGAGTCACAACAGGGCCGACAGTATGACATCCCTGTGACCGGCAATATGTTGGTCAGTCAGCTGAGGTCATTGGCGGCCAATAGGTTGGCCACAACCGATAGACACGTACGGCTATTGTATCGTTATATCTATGATTTGGACGATACGATCAAACTGTCCGACTATGATGTCAGACCTGGCGATACTATTCGTGCATTTATTTTATGATTTAATTAAATAATTAAAAAATTATTAATTAAATGAAATTAAAGAAAAATTATTAATTATTTAGTTTTATTTTGTGTAAAAATTTTGAAATAAATTAAATAACAATAATTATAGTTATTGTTTTAAAATATGTTTTACAATTTAATTTTAATTTATTAATAGTTAGTCATATATATATATATATATATATATATATATATATATACAGTATATATATATATATAAATAACATTTATTTTTTAAAAAAATTAATTTCATATCATATCCTTATCATATCATATTCATATCCAAACAAAAATATTGCTGATTAATAATATTAATGTAAAATAAATAATTAAAAATTATATATATATAATACTGTAATATAAATTATATTAGTATTAAATTTATCTAAATTTAATACTAATTTAAATTTTTAACTTAATCTCACTTAAACTCTATTAATTTAGTTTTATTTTTATAAATATTACAATTTATAATAAAAAAAACAAAATAACTAAAATAATTAAAAACTAACTAAATTAAATTACAAAAATTATTTATAATAATATTACTACATTATAGTAGCTAGTAATCTAACTTTTATATTTGTTTAAACAATTTATTTTATTAAAAATACTCAACAATAAAAATATTTAATAAATTATTACTAAACTTTTTAAATAATTATTAATTAAATATGTTTTTTGTTTTTTTTTTGTCTTTCATTTTCAAGTGATTCATTTAATTATGAGAAAATAAACAATAATAAAATTAATTAATTTTTAATTTAATTGATTTTATTAATTTTTAATTAAAAAATCATTGATTCTATTATTGTTTATTGTCAATAATTTTTTTGTGGATATCATTTACTATATATTTTTATATATAATCATAATATTATTATAATTATGTTTAGAAAAACAATTTATTTGATTTGATTGTCAAAAAAAAATGTTTTACATATATATATAATTATTGAAAACAATATTATTATTAAAAATTTATCTAGCTAATTTTTGTTGTTGTTGTTGTCAAAAATTTAAAGTTTAGAAAAAAATTTTAAAATGAAAACATTATTTTTTATACTAAATATTATTTGTTAATATAATAATAATATTTAATAATTTATCCAGTTAGATTTTGATTAAATTTGTTGTTGTTTTTTTTGTTATCCAATATCTAAATTAAATAAAAAATAAAAAACTATTGTTAGTAAATACAAAATTTATTTTCATTTGTTTGCACACTAAGAGACAAAAAAACAAATAAATAAATAATAAAAAATTATGAGAAAAAATTATTATTATTATAATTAAATTACTTATAATAATATATAATTATAGCTGCAAACCCACTCATACACCCACACAAAAACACATATAAATTTATATAATAATTATTATTTAATTTTTAATAATAGTAATAATAATATAATTTTTAATAATAATAATTATTATTTAATTTTTAATAATAATAATAATTATTTAATTTTTAATAATAATAATTATTATTCAATTTTTAATAATAATTATTATTATTTAATTCTCAATAATAATAATTATTATTTAATTTTTAATAATAATAATAATTATTAATTAATTTTTAATACTAATGATAATTATTATTTAATTTTCAATAATAATAATAATTATTATTTAATTTTTAATAATAATAATAATTATTAATTAATTTTTAATAATAATAATAATAATTAATTAATTTTTAATAATAATAATAATAATATTAGTATTAAATAAATTACCGAAATATTTATTTTTTAGCATTTAATTGGTTTACAATCAGTTGTTGTCGGCTTACGATCGATGGGGGCCTCAATAGTCAATATACCGCACGTATCTAAACGGGAGGTCACCCGCTGGGGGTCCGCACCATCCGGTAAATCATATTTATGGCAAAACTCTTTTTCCAGCCAACCCTCGTGACTGCACGCCCGACGCCATTCCCGATGTTTGGCCTTAATTACCAGACACTGGCCAACAGTTTTTACCGAAATCTCTTCCGGCCGGAAACGGCGACAATTCACTCGGACGGTAAACTTGCGGCCATTGTTACTGATGTCTAGACTGCCGATACGTCGCCGACTAAATCGTAAGTCCCAGCCGTCGTCGTTACCGTCGTTGTCCAGACAGTCGTCGTCCATACAGTCAGACCAGGTTATCGATGGCCACAAGCAATCGCCGGTTAGGCCGTCCTTTACCTCCCAACCCCATGGAAACCAACGGTGCGGACAATACAGGCTTAAAGACATAGTTTGAATGATATATTATTTTTTGAGAGATAACTGTTTGAACACTAAATTTTATATACAATTGATTGAAACAATTATTATTATTATTATTTTCTATGTTTGACTGTATTTAAGGTTTTATTTTAGTTGATTTGATTGTATAAAAAAAAGTTTACCTATAAATATATATACAATATATATATACAGTATATATATATATATATATATATATATGATGACTATGACTGACCTCATTGATAGTGTGTATGTGTGATATGATTTAATTTATTTTTTTTTTAAATTTTGGTATATATTTATAATATATATATAAACTTTAATTAACTTAAAATTTATGCTTAACTGTGATTTTGGTTTCAGTTTTCAAATTATTTATTTTTTGTGTGTTTGTGTTTCAATGTTATTATTATTATTATTATTATTATTATTATTATTATTATTATTATTATTATTATTATTATTATTATTATTATTATTATTATTATTGTCAATAATTTTCATCATTAATATGTATTAATTTTTGTTGTATTACTTTGTAATGAAAAAATAAATAAATAATTATAAATGTTTAGTTAACTTGAATTTTTTTTTGACATAAAATTTTTTTTTGTAAATAAAAATTTTCAAATTATAACATTTATTATTCCGTATAATATATATATATATTATTATTATTAAAAATTATAATTAGTTTACCAAAAAATACTGTTAATAATCATATCATGTTAATAGTAATATTGGTTTTGATAATAATAATAACAATATTTATATAATATATCAATAACTATATATATTATTGATTTTTTGTTTGTTTTGTTTCATTTATATCCATAAAAAGTCTTATTATTAAAAATTTATTTAAATAAAACAAATATTTTTTAAAACTAACAACAAAAATATAATATTATAAATTCAATTTAATATATTATTTAAGAAAAATCTTATTAATAAAAAAAATAAAAGATTTTTATTCAGATATTGTATTTAAATGGACTTCAAAATAAAACTTATAAATCTTATTATTTTTATATATATATATATATATTTATAATATATGTTTTTGACAGGTTTTATTTATTTATTTGTTTTATTTATATATTAAATTTAATATTTTTTATATATATATAAATTTCTCATATTTCAAATCCTATTTTTTTGCAATACATATAAATAATATCAACAACAACAACAAAAATTAATAACTAAAGTAATAGAAAGATAGCCAACAAAAAAACCATTTTTATTTTGATATTAATAATAATATTAATATTAATAAATTTAATAAAATTCAAAATTATATATATATATTTAATATTTAAAATCATTACCTTGAATAGTTATTTGTAATAATATATATCTATATAATAAACATTGAAAAATATATAGTAATAATAATAATAATATTTATTTATTAATAAATACTAATTTAAAAAAAAATTGTTTCACAATATTAACCTAATTTTAATGATAAATATATATATTTAGTATAATATGTATTTGATGTCAAATATTGTTTAATAACTTAATTATTATTATTATTATTTGGTATGTATTTGATTGACATTTTAATTTGACGTCAATTATGATACTTATAAAGTAAATTTTATTTTTATTAATAAACCAACAAATAATAATAATAATAATAATAAAATCAATGACAACATAATATACTATAATTTATTATTAAAGATTTATTTGTTGAATCTACTGTTATATATGCTATTGATTTACAGTATATATTAATAAATTATAAAAATAATATTTATTTTATAATTTTTTAGACATTAATTTATCATTTTTCCTATGCTATGTCACAAATTTTTTGTTTTATATAAATCTATATTTATCAAAATATGAAAATTTATTTATATGATAGTACTTGAAAATATTTATTGAATACTAACAAACAAATAAATAAATAAAAATAAAAATTGTTTTAAAGATTTATTTTTTTTTTGGTATTAATTGAAAGAAACAAATTTAATTATATATACATTAAATATTCAACAACAAAAAAAACAATATTTATAATTAATTAGTAGTTAATAATATATTATACAAACAAAACAAACAATATATAACATTATTATAATATACTTTATATATATATGTATTGTATTATAATTATATACCTATACTTTATATACCATATATAGCATTATTATATTATATATCTACTAATTAGACTATAATTTTATTATTATTATTATTATTATTATAATATACAGTATATTGCTATATATATACAGTAGATATCAAATTAAAAAATAATTATTTTAAAAAACTGATTGTTAGTATTTTTAATTTATATATATATATATATATAACTCAATTGACAGACTCGACAATCACTAGCGGTTTTTGTAGCGGTTTTTTTCGGGCCAACAATGAGGACGACGAGCCGTTTGTTGGCCTAAAGTTGTTGGTAGTGTTGTTGTTGTGAGGTTTGCTTTGTCGACGACATACCCGTCCACTAGTTGTTGTTGTTGAAGTGGTTGTTGACAATAGTGTAGTACTAGTCGTACGGTTTGATTGGTGATCGATATATGAGATATTGTCGGCAATTGTTTGGTTGACTCCTTTGGGATTACATATATATAATACAGATATATAAATATATATTAAAAAAATATTATATAAAATAATATTATATAAAAATATATTTAAATTATTAAAAACTATATAATAATTATATATATTATATTTTTCATATATATATATAGACTATATTATTATTATAAATATTAAATTAAATCATATGACTAATTAATGAAAATTTTAAAAAATTATAATAAAATTATTGATTATTATTATAATTAATTATTTAATATGAAAATTTGTCGATAAAAAAAATAAATATCAACATTTTAAGGAAACATTGAAATAACTAATAAATTATTAATAACTGGTAAATAATAAATAAAAAAGTAAAATTATGTTTAGCTTTTTTAAATTATTAATAATAAAACTAAAACTATATATAAATATATCCGTTTATATTTTTTTAACACATTTAATAATAATTTATTTTTTTTTAAAATCTAATAATTTAATATAGCGTTTAATACTTAAGTATTTAAAACAGTATTTATAAAATCATAATAAATAGTAGTAATCATTAACTTTATAATAATAATATTAAATTTGTTTTGGCTATAAAATAAAATATTTATAAATTTTATTATGACTTTTATAATAGGATTATAATAAGGGCTATACTTTTACTGTACATTATATTGACTTTAACTTAAAAATAACTTTAATGTTATGTCAAAATTTTTTAAATATTATAGTGCTATGATGTCTATTGTATATTTAATATTTTTGTATTTAAGTTGTTTATATATATATATATATAAAAAAATTTAATAAAAAATATAAATAAATTTTTTTATACACTACTATACAGTACATGTATTTCTAGTTGTATTTAACAACTTATTTATAACATATTATTATTATTAAAATTAGATTAAATATTAAATTAAATTGTTTTTTTATTAACTAAAAACTTAAACATTAATGATATTTTTTTTTGTAAAAAATATATTAATATAATAAATATATTATATTATATAAATATATCAAAAATTATTATTATATTTAAATTAATAATTATATATATATATATAATACTAACAATAATTTGTTGATAAAATAAATATTAATTAATTAATTAATTAATTAATTAATATACAGTATACAGTATATATACCAATATAATTATAAATTAGTTTTTGTAAATTAATTTAATATATTTATTATATTAATATTTTTATTTTAAAAAATAAAAAAATATTATTAATGCTTAAAGTTTTAATTATATATATATATATATATATTGATTGATTGATTGATTGATAATAATAATAATACAAATAAATACATACGATATCTATGTATTAGACGACAATCACATTTGATAACTGAGTACAATGTCTGGCGAAACGTGCGATTAAAGCCACCGTAGATGACAGGGTTTAGCGCAGAATTACAATAGGCTATGAATGTACTGATATAGGAAAGGGTGGAAAACCAAACCGGTAGCTAAATAAAAACACATCAATTAATTTAAAAAAAAAATTAATTAATAAATAAATGTTTTGATAAATGTTTGTATAAGAAAAAACAACCAAAAAAAACAAAGACAAACAAACAATTAATTTATTTGTTATAATATATATATATACTGTATATATATATACTATATATATATATACTGTATATATATTCTGTGTATATATGTATATTCTGTGTATATATATAAGTTATATATATATTCTGTATATATATACTGTATATATATTCTGTATATATATTCTGTATATATATTCTGTATATATATACTGTATATATATTCTATATATATATATAATATATATATATATTGAAAAAATTACTAATTGGATTGCTAAGTACACTACAATATATTTATATATATATGACAGTTAGTAATGATTTATTTTATTTATATTATTTATTTTTTGTTTGTAGTATTAGATAAAATAATTTATTGTTGTATTAATAATGTTTTTTGTTTGTTTGTTTGTTTGTTTACAAAATACTAATTATTAAATATATAGTGATAATACAGATTTATTATTTGATATTATAGATAAAATAAAATAAAATAAAATTCATTATTTATTTATTTTTTAAATATTATTGTCACTAATAGCTAATGTATGTCCATATGTGTGTATGTATGATATAAAATAAAAATATATAAATAAATATATACTGTATACTGATAAATAAAAGCAAATAAATTTTTGTTTGAAAATTAAAACAAACAATAATTTAGCTAGTTAGTTTTTATTAATTGATTAAATATTCTAGCAAAATCAACAATTAATTAACAAAAAATAATAATTTATCACAACTAATAGCCAAAGAAAAAATAATTTTCTAAAAATAAAACTAATATAAATAAAATAAAATTTAGAAAAAAAATAATTATTTTATTTCAATGTTTTTTATTTTTATTTTTCATATTTATATTTCAATGTTTTCTAACAACTATTATGTTTTATATAATTATATTATGAAAAAAATGATACTATAATACATAAGTAGTC